GAAACCCGGAAAACAAGTGTTTACGTTCTTATAACGTTCTTGGCGAATGTTGTGGTTTGGTATGTCACAAAATAACGTTTACACAACGTTGTAGGAACGTGCAAACGTTGTGAAATTATGTTCAGTAAGTATTTATGGTTCTACAAAATAAAGTTTTCAAAACAAAACTGTAACGTTATTGTCACGTTAGCATAACGTATTATTGTTTGCTGGGAAGGTCGTTAGTACTAACGTAGTAGCTCACCTCTCCTTAAGTTGAAACAGGAAGCTTTTCAAAGTCTTGGATGTGTTTGATTAAAGTTAAAAACAATTGACACCTAGATTAGGCCTGCTTGTAGATATCATCTTCATTATGATATATAATATTTGGATTATTAGACTGCTCAAAATTTAATAAAGTATTCTAAACAGCAACAAAATATTAGAAGATTTGCTACTGTTAAATCACGAGCAGTTTGTCAATTTTTGAAGTGCTTTTCCCACGCTTTGCATGAACTGGTTGAATAGACGCACGTACATCCCTCTGATTTGCGGTTTTCTCTAATTAAATTGTGTCTCAAATGTTCGAAAACAAGACTGATAAAAGTGCGTCTAGCTCGCAAAGTTGCAAAAAGTAGCAGCTAAATTTGATACCATCATAAAGCTAAGGCTATACTGAAGATGGTGATGTAAAAATTAAAGCATGAATCCACATGAATCTAAAATTTCTCTCTACTTTTCTAAAAATAGATTTTTAAATATTTTTTCTGTCGTTTAAACAACGATTTATTATTGATGCAAACTTTAAATTTAAACCAAAACATATATTTGTGTTCCCCAATTTATATACAATAAACCTGTGCAATTTGAAATAATTCCGAATTTTCTGTAAGAAAAAAAACGTGTTTAGATATAATGTAGTCAATTATAGCATTTGAAATTATTTATAGAGAAATTTCCGACATTTGTTGAAATATACTACCCTTAAAATTCGTTTAAATGTAAAATATTTTCAGGATAGATTCACCAGTGTATACACATCTTCAATCATGTGAAAAAAAGTGTAAAAGCCATAGTCACCAAAATGAACTTTTGACACACTTTGATTTCGCCCTGGCTCACTGTGCGGCGGCGGAAACTGGGGGGAAGGGCAGGGGCCATTGGCCCACCCACTTTTTATACTGGGGGGGGGGGCTGGCCCCCCCACTTTTGTGACTGTTCCCAGCACCAGTGACAAACATTTTACGCAGATGTATAGTTTAAAGTGTAACTGATTGGCTTACAGTAAACCTTCAAACCAGCGTAATATAACCATATTTAAACTCTAATTTAACGAAAACAATAAGATACTTAATTAGGCCATTTTTAAAATAAAGTTGTCTGAAGGTTAACTACAGAATTTACAGTCCACTGTAGTTAATGTGTTATAGGTTGTAAAACTGTATGGAGCTTTTAATCTGAGAGTGCCATTTCCGGCCATCTAGAGGTGCCATAATCATAATAACAATAGTTGTGGGGCTGAGGCGGGTGGACATTCTATTTACGCAAGACTCTCCCTGGAACTCCTCTATTTCGACTTTGTGGACCCGCCACAGTTGGAGTATCATTTCCGAGCTTAGCTTATAGAAGGGTAATTTTTATCCATCGGGGGAAAATGAAGTCTAAGAGTGTAATTTCCAGCCATCTAGAGGTGCCATAATCACAAATTTTCTTGCCTCAACCCCAACCATGGTGGGGCTGATGTGGTATGGATTCTCCATCTGCTGAAGTACCCAATGGCGGATTCAAGGGGACCCAGACGGCCCGCCCCCGCCCGCCTAAATTGTTCAATAAAAAAAATGGAGATATAATGATAATTATATTCAAATTTTATGTCTGGAAGTGCAATCTTCCAACTGTCAAAGTACCCTCCCTGGGCCCTTCTATTTCGAATTCCTGGATCCGCCACTGGAAATTACAACAAATATGAAAATCATATTACAGTACCTTGATGCCTATAAAATAACTTATAAAATTCACCAAACTTCGTAAAATATCCGTAGCTTCCAGGAGGCTTCGCCCCCTGTACCCCTACCGGTTGGCCTTGGCGGCCCCCAGCCTGGATGCTCTTTTCGCTCGCATACTCGACCTTATTAAGTGCCCCCCCCCCACTTTCAAAAACGTTCCGCCGCCGTTGCCTTCTGGTATGTTAAATGTTTATTATAATACTATCGACAACAACAAAACAGCTAGTAGATAGTATTAAGCCTACCCATTCTATAAAGTGTAGTACCAGTATAGACAGTAGGTTGAGTCTCGAAAACGTTCAATTTGGCTCAGCTGCAAGGCCATCAGCGAATCACAAACTCCCTTCACTGCCGTTTGACCGATGCACATGTTCACTTGCAAGTATGGCGTTGTCCATGTCGGGCAGGCAATGTTTTTTTTTTAAATGTAAGATAGTTTGGAAAAATCTCATGAATTATTCTTAATCATCCTTAATCAATCTTTTTGCGCATACGCTATCTCCAAGTCTGTGTCAGCCTCAATGATCAGCTGCTCTGTGCATCTCGATGACCTAGTGTTCGATTTAAAAAACTACATAAAAAATTCAAATTAGATTTCGGGCGAGTCCTGTTGGGTCTTCCAGAAAAAATTGTACACCATCTTTAACTTTAACACCACTAATAAGCATCGTCATTCAGCGCCACAGAACATTACTTCATGTGATGGAATTTGACACTATACAAGTTACTTGGATTGATTGAGTACAAGTTGGCATGGGTACAAGTTAGCCGACAGCCGTAGTTAGTAGGGTCTGTAATGAAGCCTTGGTTAGGTTACGGTAGGAAATAATCAGATTTAAATCATATTATTGATTTGAAGCGGTATTAGACTGGCGAAGTATTTACTAACTAGCCGTATACTGTACTTTGGGAATTAGGCCTAATACATGCCCTGTCGCACTGTGCTGTGTATCACGATCAATGGCTTAGAACTTTACAATGTGCTCGACTTACCTGCTGATGCAGAAGAGAATGCCGTTGGCAGTTGCATGAGTTGTGAGTGCTAAGCACAACAAATTGCGTAGGCCGTTGTTGTGACTCAAAAACTCCAATTGCGTTAAATTCCATTTTATTAAAACTTTATTAATTTACAAAAATATATATAAATCGAATCACTTTTTTAAAATATGCATAGTATATTACAATTTCAACTAAGTAGGAAATCGTTTATTGAAATTATGATGGTATTTATTGTAAATTTCCAGATTAGCAACATATAAATTATGCAAATGATCAATTAGCATATTTGCATACTTACCAAACAATAGGTTCCATCGTCTTATTTGTTATTCACAAGGAAATTTCTGCAGCATGTCCTTGCCGCCCGCCTTGCTGAATCCCTACTAGCCAATAGAATAATTGATTCAGAAGTTCAGAAATCATTCTTAAAAGGTATAAACGGTTGTGTAGAACACATTATCGTGATGAATAAACTACTATCTGATGCCAGAAACCAGAAAAAATATCTACATGTGACATTTTAAGATCATGCAGATGCATTTGGATCAGTTGAACACGATCTGATCCATTATACAGTTTATCGTTTCCTATGATTATGACGTCATTTGATTGGAATAGTGACAATATATTTTTTTTATTGTATACAAGATAAATTGTTATTGAATCGTGCTAATGTGAAAAGTATAGTTAGGGACAGGGCCGCCAAGAGGAAAAACTGTAACAGAGGCAAGAGTTGTTGTGACAGACGAGCCCGAAAAAAAAAAATGTTTTGTGTGGGCACTGTCAATCTAGAGTGGCTCATTATTTTCTGCAATTTCTATGGGGCCCTAGTAAGCTTGGAGCCCTGGGATCTTGCGCCCCCCATGCCCCCTCTCGGTGGCCCTGGTTAGGGTGTCATAGTTTTCGGTGTTAGTGTTCGTGGTCTCAGTTTTTGGGGTCATAATTTTCTACAAACCTTAACAACGACGTATTTTAACACCTTTAGAGAATCTAAAGTAAGTCACCCAATCTTTACTTGGTGTCATATTACAACCCCCTACTATTTTAGTAAACCATGTAACATACCAACAGCCAAGTAAGAACCGAAAGGTCCACTGATTAATTTCAGATAAGAAAGTATAATACATACTCCAAGTATTGAAATACACGCCATCGTGTTGGGATTCAATATTTCGACATTAATTATGTCATCATCAGGAATGTTTTCGGTGTTAGTGTTCGTGGTCTCAGTTTTTGGGGTCATAATTTTCTACAAACCTTAACAACGACGTATTTTAACACCTTTAGAGAATCTAAAGTAAGTCACCCAATCTTTACTTGGTGTCATATTACAACCCCCTACTATTTTAGTAAACCATGTAACATACCAACAGCCAAGTAAGAATGTATCAAGAAACAGCCAACGTCACGTTTCTTCCTCAGCTAGGCCTACCGTCCGGTATGTTTTGATTCCGCGCTTCGATGAGTTTTGGTCACCAATGACTTTATTGAGTGGCCTCCTTGTTTCTAATGTATTTCAGTACGATCGTAAAAATGTAACTTAAAACTTTTGTTTTTGTACGCAATTAATTTTATTCGTAAAATATGACCTAACACGAACGTTTATAATATATTTATAAACATAATTACACTTTAGTGTATAATATTTTTTAGTGTTTAGTTTTCTTTTTGAATTTTTAATTGACCTCTGTAATTGATTTCTTAATTCAGCCAATGGTTGCCAAGGATTCAATGCTGTGCTGGTCTTGTTTTACTGTTTACAGGTGATCTGGCACGCAAGAGATGGGGTGATGTAAGAGATGCATATAACATCAGTAGAAAGAAAGCAGCACTAATGATCGGTGATGTTGACAAGGTTGTGAAAACATACAGACTTGCTGGTATTCTTTCTTTCTTTCAACCATACCTACAACAGCAAGAGTAAGTTTGAGGGAATTAAGAGAGTTTTCTGTAAATATCGACCAATATGCACCAATAGTGGCAAAACTCAACAAATTAGATTTTCTTTTAAAAAAAAAAATACTTTTCCCCTATATTCAACAAAACTCAATCAGGTAAATTTGACCTACATCTTATGCATGAACGCCCTACCCGCAGAAAACTCGAAATCCGTAGCTGCTATTGGCTTAAAGCGCGTGACGTCATTCATAGAAAGAGTAAACACGGTTCTGAATACAACATTTAAAAGACAAAATGATCGTCATTCAGCGCCAAAATGGTTATAAAATGGTTATTTAACCAACCAGCATGAGACTTACATGTCAATAAAGCTTAACTTATGAGCTAGAGCTACACTTGACCGTCCACTGCGAAGTTTAGCGACCTGTCATTGCAAAGTTATGTTAAGAAGAAGCAGGGAGTATACCAAGAAAAAAAAACTATAATTTCAAACTTTTTTCTATGTCAAAGCATAAAATGATGTCAACTTTAAAAGAAAAATGATCACTCAGTTTTGCATTAATTGTACGAATATATAGATGATTATAAAGCTTAAAACATCTAGTTTTATAATCCGATCGCCCCAGATTGCCAAATGAAATCATTCAAATAATATAGTCGATTTTGTAAGAAAAAGGCGTATCGTTTGTCTCTTTTACTGTGTTAAGGTGTGCAGTGATCCGTTCAGTGAGCAGATGTTTCGAAGTCTTCATTATGCTTCATAATTTGGTAATTGATTGCCTTTTGGGTTAATATTAAAAAAAACGAGATATTTAAAAAAAAACTTTTTGCCATGGTAACAGGCATATGTTGTTTTTCTCAAAATCCAGCCAATTTTAACATTCTAGCATGTGAGTTTTACCCACAATTTCACCTGACGCTTAGAAGAAATTCGAAAAAAAGGAATTCGAAAAAAAGTCGAATTTTTCATAACTTTGTATCAAGGTTTTACTTTGTTGTGCAACAAAGATGGAGGAAGATTTTTTATTCATTCTAGGTCATATAATTGTTTTTTTAAAGGGGTGTTTTTAAGATTTTCAAATAGTAATTTTTAAACATATTACGCGAAGGGCTGTAGCTTTTATGGTAACGCTTTAAAAACAAACCACCTGCACACATGAATAAGTGTATAGTTGCTCTTGTAGTTTTTGTTATAGTTAGTATGATGAATCGCATAACCTCTATATTGTTTTTCTATATATAATTGCTTAAAATTTTAATTTTTTATGGTGTTTTGTATGTATTTTTTGTGTAAAAAAAATCAATCTAAATCCATATTTTTGTATTCAACATACACTGAATAACCAAAAAACATTGAAACATATTTTAAAGCCATACAATTAGATAAGTCAATGCTTAAGTCAAATCATTCAATGCTTAACATTTCGTTTGTCGTTTTGTAGAAACCAATTTAATCATAAAATAAAGATAAATTAAAAAATAAATTAAATACAATAAGAATGCCAATTAAATAAATAAAAAATGTAGTTAGGCTAGCGTTAATATTTTACATTCTGCTTATTTTTTTAAAAGAAATTAATGATACACATTACACTCGAGTAAAAATTATAAAGTAGAATTAATCATTATGAAATCATAGGAAACAGTGATAGTGTCATATTACGCCTAGTTTATGGTCAAAAGTGTAGCAAACAGTAGAGCTACATGAGAACTTCTATTATTAATATACCGTTGAGTACATTCACCTGGAAGCTTGCAAGAGACAATCTTTGATGCTATCACCTTTATTGTTCAGCAAGCAGCACAAGACATTCAGACTGTTATAGCCACAATGCGCATGTTGTTGAAGAGGTAAACAAATAATGCCATAGTTAAGAGTGTCTACTTTAGACAGGAAAATGCAGGTTGCTATCATTGTGTACAAACGATTCTTGCTCTTAAGAAAATATCTGAGGAAACGGGTAGAAATAAGTGGAATCGATTTTTCAGACTCTGAATGTGGAAAAGGTTGCTGCGAAAGAAAGACAGCAATAGTCAAAGACCACGTCCTTACGTATACATATCAGTGAAGGGAATGTCTTATCTCCAAAACAACTGAAAAACTCTATAGAATTCAGAGGTTGAGTCAATGATGTGAACGTTTTACAGAAGCTAGCATTGCAGTATGAAGAAACTACAAAATAGGTCCTGGAAGATGCTTGGCTGTTGAAGACTACACAGAACTTGCTGTCGTCGAAGTTGATGAAGCTCCATTGAACTTCATTATGTTCAGAAAACTTACACCCACGAAGGCTTCCAGCAATACAGGAAGCAAGTAATGTTATTCTTGAAGAAGGTGAAGAAGCTATAGAGACAAGTGATGTATTCTGTTGTTCAGAAGAAAGTTGTGTGAGAGCGTACCTCTCGTTGGGTCGCTTGGAGACACATTTTAATGTGTCTCCAAAATGCATACCTATGCTCCTGAACGTGAAAGCCTTATGGAGGGAGCACGTATAGTGTATGCCTCACAACTGGCTACCATAAACACCAAAGAACCATCAATGAAGAAATCAACAGAACACTCAACTTCCCACATCTTCTCTGCATAAGAATTTCTAACGCACAACAAATCGGTAGCTTCTTTTCCAGGAAAGCCAAACGATCGAAGGAGCCGATTATACTGAAAGTGATATTCATGATGCCGCTGCTGAAGAGGAAAATAACATTCAGAGGATACATAAAGCTATAAGGGAAAGATTCTTAATAAGACACCACTTAAAATATAAAGAGTTAAACATATGAAAATTGGTAGAGAATGGAAACTTTCATCTCTTAATTTGCAAAAGCTTCAGGATATCTGTGATTGTTTGTTATATAGACATATTCTAAACTCAACAAAAATAGAAAAGCCCTTTAAATACAGAGACCAAGGAGTTACAAGATCAGTGTACTTGTTTGAAGTAATTTTGACGTGTGCAAATCATTGTTTTGCGTTTGTCACGTTTCACACACTTTAGCAAATAGCTAATGTGATTTAACTATTCTGTTCATGTAAGTTTTGCCCTATAGCTTTCATCTCGATACAAAACAGTGGGTCTTATCTATAGAAAGTGGACAATTCGTCAATAAATCTATGTACAATATAAATCTCCAATTAAAATATCATAAACTACATGTAGTAAATATTTGAGTTCAGTGAAATTTTTACGCAAATATCGTAAAAAGTGGACCGCTGTAACCATATCAAGAAATAGCAAAAATACAATTATTTGAAGCAACATTCCTTTAACGGTATTGCATTGACCGAAGCGTTTTTTTTCCCATTAATTTAACGTCTAATCAACATATATTTGCAAGAACAAACAATTTCAAGTGTTAGCAAGGAATGTATAAGGCTCCAAACGTAGGCCTAAATTGGAAATTTCAAAATGTGTAAAAACACCCCTATTTCAAATAAATGGTACGGTTCGTTTCCGAACCAAACTTGTACTTTTATTTATTCTATCTCAGTTGTTAGAACACATCATTTAGGATATCTAACTTTAAAAATTATTTTAAAATCGTGAAAATTGAAAAAAAATGGACGTTTCTATGACAACGGGAGATAAAACACTGAATTAACTGAGCCATATAGGCCTACTGTTTGTTTACCTAACGTCGTTTCACCACACAGATTTTTAAGATAATCGATTTTTTGACCTTGGCCACCCTAAAATAGATATTTACAGAAAACATCTCTTAAATACCCGCAGTGAACATGCAGTCAATCCATCCTTTATATGATATGAACTTCCTAATTAAATTTTAACAAATAATCGTTACATTATAGTATTTTATGTTATGTTTTTTAGGATCTTGTATTAGTTTTTATTTAATAACAATTTTATGACGTTTATTTCTTCTTCTTTAATTAAAATTTTAAATCTTTAATAGCATTGCATACAAACACTGAATTGTCTTAACTAAATTTATAAATGAAATACATGTTTAAAGTAAGAAAGCAATAAATAGGTAAATTAGAAAAAAATATGTAACTTTTTATTGCATAAAAACATTATACATAGATATGTTTTTGTTCCTTTCAGTATAGAACTTCATGCAACCTCAAGGTAGGGAATAGCAATGAGAATGAAGCCCACTTAGACACTTTTGCTGAGCATAAGGAGGAAACTGTGCATTTTCAAGCAGAAAGAACAGCAGCAAACTAAACCAGATGTTGTGGAACACCTGGAAAATTGAAGACAAAGGGTGGATCTAAGTTCTGAAATAGACCAGTCTATATTGAACGATTTACATAAAAAGTCAGTGGCATCTGAAGAAAAAAAAACCCCTATATCTTTTTTGTTATTTGTTTGTTTCAATAGCACATGCCATCAGAAAACTTCCTGACAATTAAAAGGAAGAAGTAGAGTTCTGAATACATGAACTCGTGCATCAAGCTCAGCTTGAGAGAATGTGCTTCAATTAGGCAGACAACTATTTGATCCTTTAAATAAATATTATTTTTATAAGTGTTTTGAGTTTGTTTATATCTTTATATTTTGTCCATTAATTTGCATTCACTTTAGACATTGCTAACCTCTCCTTTGCACTTATGATTAAGTGTCTTCCTTGTATATGACGTTTCCTATTAAATTGAGAATGGTACAAAACTGCTTTTCAGACATTCCTAAATATTCATAGAATTTAATTTAAGGAAAACATAATTCTCTGGTTAATGTGTGAAATTCACCACTCAATGCTGTTTTGGGGAATTGGATGTACGCACATTGGACGATGTTGCCGACGTCGATAGGTATAATTATAAAAGAAGTATATTAGGCAAACAAACATCAATCTTATTTGTCCGAAGAGTTGATATTCCTAATTTTTCGCCACTCGCCATTAGTGGGCGTTTAGTTAATATATTTTGTTAAACGTTTCTATAGGTCGTCTCTTTTTCTACTTTATCACACTATACAACATCTTGAATATGTTTTAGGTGTTACGCCTTACCAAATACCATGAATATTAACTAACCCCGCACTCTGTTGTGTGTCAATTATAGTCAGACGACCGTAATATGTAGCATGGCACTCCGACGGTTCTTATCCAATTTCTGTCAACGTGGTAGAAGCTGGTTGTGTTCAATATCGTTTCGTATTTTTATGTAAACTGTAAATTTTATATATATTTTAAAGTTTATATCTTTCACATTTCTTATAACCTCTTGGGTCCTGGCGGCATCATATGATGATATTTGTTTGGGTCAAGGTCATGTTATTGTTATTAACACAGCTGACTGGAACTACTGTTTAATGTTCCAGAAAAAGTGTCTGCGGCCCTCTCTAGTTAAATTTACCATATCATTGCCCTACAACCACATGTAATGAAATGCAAAGTAACAACTGTTTTTGTGGGGTTTTTTATTTGGCCCGGCCCGATTGAGGGCGCTATTTCCTTTTATTTTTAATTGTTTTTTGCCCTACTTATATCTCGAAAAACCCTTGCCAGAAAAAAAAATATAAAATTGCATACCTTCTAATTAGGATACAAATGTCCTATTTCAGCTTTTAAAACAATGATTTTCTGAATATTTTAATGTTGGGTCTCAGAAGAATAATTAAAATATCTTTTCAGGAGATCTCGTGTTGTCGTTTAATGCTTATAGTTTAGACCGGTATGTCGTAAATATGAGTGTCGCGTATATTTTCTAATAAAAGCAAATTTTGACTTATTTTCATACCTTTATAAAAAATATATTGCCATTTTTTCTAAAGACATTTAAAGTACCAAATTCAAGATGGCGGCCATCATTTAAATAACTACTATTTCGAAGCTGAATTTTATAAATAACTCAAATTATGAATGCGGATCAAGCCCTTTTTGGTGACAATACCCCAAAATGTTCAGCACAGCACATTTTATTACGTAAATGCAAAGATTGGCAGCCATATTGAATTCCAAAATGGCCACCACTAAAAAACCCAATTCTTTATTCAGACATATTGAAATGTGTACATAGATAGATTTATATAACATATATCATTTGATATATATATATATATATATATATATATATATATAATAAATATACACATTTTAAAGCGCATATTAAAGCTTGTCACTAGTTTATAAATAAATATATATATATATATATATATATATATATATGTATATATATAATTTCGATAAATAATTACATATTCTAACTTGAATCTAGAACTAGGCATATGTATATATTGTGTCTGTATTTAACGTATTTCAATCTTTGTCAATCAAAGTCGAAGATATGTCCTGGTCCCAACCCTTTAACGTCACTATTGGATAGGCTCTTTATAAGACTTCTACGAATGGATACCTTGTTTGAAGCAAGTTGTCTTTATCCAGTACCGCTCGTATTTTTTATTCGTGTGGGAAATGTTTAGCCTATGGACCCAGATGACATCAAGAAACAGTTCTTATTTCGACCTAGTGAGCTACATGTAGTCATTTGGGCATTGGGAAAATACGTTTAGGAAAGTGGAATTGACCAGGCCTGGGTTGAAGCTGGGCCGACCTACAACAGTGACATAAATCCTAAATGGAAAACATCTCTACAGGTCACTAGAAGCCCATACTCTAACTATGCTTGCTCTCTACCATTTCTCTTTTGGCAGTTTTCTAGAAAAAAAAATACCAGAAGTGAAAACGTTTTTAAGCGAAATATCCATTTTTTTAGAAGACAGTTCAGAAAGAAATTCGAAGAAATATCACTATAGCCATGAATAAAACACTGACAGTGTTCGAATCTAGAGATACGGTATCTTCACGAAATTAGGTCAGTTTGAAGGCAATGCGAATCTTATCCAACTTTACATCCTTAACTACTTGAAACAGTTTGAAACTATACTTTAGTATGTCAGTGCCACCAGGCAACGGGATCTGATGTTGCACATAAAAAGTACAGAGGCTCTTATCAAGTATTTCTTTGCTCATAACCACCTGAACTACGCTCTAAATATTTGCGCTGTATCTTTTTAACAGTGCAGGAAACAGAAAAGTTTCCAAATGTACGGAAAGTTCATGAGGCAAATTCTGTGTGGTAGAGGGACTTTCTGGGTTCGCGTCCATAGGTCCTGTAACATCAATTAGTAATAATAAAGAGTGAAACAAGATCGTAACGTAAACTCGTGTTTATTTAATACACAACACAACATGTCACTCGCCTCTCAAGAGTATTAGAGGGCGCTATTACTACATCTCCCCAGAGCCATAGATAGAAAGAGTTGCGACATTGAGAATTTAGAAGCCATTTTGTGTCATACGCGATGCGCGTTCTGTGTCTAACGTGATGTGCGTTCCTGTGTATAATATTGTATAAGTACAGTTAGCAGCCTCCTGTATAGCTTAATTCCATTTAATCTTTTTAGCAGTCGAATTTCATGTAACTGTATTTATAGATTTTTTAAAATGATTTCACTACTTTATATCCAATTTCATATTATAAATAATGTAATAATTTACTATTTTTATGCAGTTCTTTAATCCTAGCCGATAGACCGAGAGAGCCTCCTCGATGGCAAGCATTCTTCAATTAAGCAATCCTGCCATATAGACCCTTAATTAGCTCCTGTTATTTTCGCAAATAAATGATATGTGACGACTAGCAAAAATTAATTAAATATGTATATCAAAATGTAATTAAAATCCGATTGGGTATATATAGATTGTTGCTCTTTAAATTTGAATATGAACGAGCCCTGTACAAATCTTATGTTATTAATTTGATTATTATTATTTATAAATATTAAAATAGTATAAGGTACTAGTTCTGGCTATGTGACGAATATCCATTCAGACGCTTCCGTAACAAGAATTTTCAAAATCTGTTATGGGCTTACACTATTATGGCTATTTGTACAGTATGAAGGCCAATAGCTCACACGGCGATAAATGCTTAATATTTAATAGTTTAAAAAGAAAAAAAAATAGAATTTAAGCCAAGGCAGGCCTATACTTCCTACCCCACAAAAACGTGAGTTGGTCGAAGATTTCCAATTTAATCGCCTAACTTTTGCTTTCCATATTTTCCTTCTGTTTTCAATAGTCGGAAATCGGAAAAGCTTTGTACTATCAGATTGGTTTTTGCAGCCAAACGTTAAACAGCCAGTCATCCTAAGCTATAGACCTGGCCTGGACCTTAGCCCAGTTCCCTTGTAAGTACTTCTGATCTCAGTCCATGGTATAGAAAACAATTTAATAAAAATGCAATTAAGATTATTATAATACGTACAAATCGGAGAAAACCTCAAGAACGCAAGTACCTTTTTAAATGGGTGCTAAGGACCAAAGTAAGTTATTTACTTCCGTCCAAAAACAGTTTGAAAAAAAAAATTCAATTTACTTGATCATCATCAGGAATAATGATAATAATACGATTATTATTGATGATGCTTAAATAAAAATGAAACGTTGAATAAAACTGCCTTGTCATTTTTGGAGTGACATCCACACTATTTGTACTTAAGTACTGGTACGCATCCTAATGGTTAAATTGCCTATTTAACTCTCCGTTAGATTTATTTATAATATATACATATATATGTTTCATTCAATTTTTAGTTGTAACGTAATAGCTTTCCTATAATATACAAATATTGATTTGGCCTATAATTTATAATTGCCATATAGGCGGCCTAG